TAATAAGTCTATCAATGGAAGAAATTAGTCATCTCCAGTCAGCACAATCAAAAGCAATCAAATCCGGCGACGATGAAGAACTTGCCGAGATCTCTCTCCGACCATTGGATCTTTCCGACATCGACGACTTCATGGTCTGGGCCAGCGACGAAAAAGTCGCCCGTTTCTGCACTTGGGATCCTTACACCAGCAAAGAAGAAGGCATGAATTTCATCAAGAACGTGGTGATACCCCACCCATGGTTCCGAGCAATCTGCCTCAACAACAGACCCATCGGCTCAATTTCAGTGTTGGCGTTTTCAGGCACCAATAGGTGCAGGGGGGAACTTGGGTATGCTTTGGGATCCAAGTACTGGGGCAAAGGGATCGCGACGCAAGCTGTGAAATTGGTCGTCGGAAGCATATTCAGGGAATGGCCGCATCTAGAGAGGCTTGAGGCGCTGGTGGTTGTGGAGAATATTGGGTCGCAGAGGGTGCTGGAGAAGGCTGGGTTTACAAGGGAAGGGGTTTTGAGGAAGTATGTTGTGCTCAAGGGAAGAACAAGAGACATTGTCATGTTCAGTCTTCTCTCCACTGATCAAGTTTCAATATCGACCACTTCTTTGCATCTTTAATTTTTTTTTTTTTTTGTTATTATCTGATTTAATTAAGCATCTTGATAAATGTAAAACCCATTATTGTTAATACTAGTAATTATATTGTCTCATAGTTAATAATGATAATCCTGATTTGCGGAATGAACATTGCAGTTGACATGGCAAAACAAAGAAGGGTTTACAACTTTACATATTCTGTGCTCTTTTATAGGAAGTAATAATTGTATAATTATTATGTATTATTACCTTGAAAATAATAAAATTAATTTTTATTTTAATTATAAATACCACATGTTAGTTTTTTATTTATTCATTTTGAAATTAAGATCAAAATTTATTTTTTTAATTAAAAATCTCACATCTTTTAAAACAAAAATTAATAATTATTATCTAATAATTAAATCATATCCTATGCCTTTTAAGGCACATAATACACAAACTCAATAAAAGCATAATAAAACTATCTTTATTATAAGTGTGATGTTTTTTTTTTAACAATGTTACAATTTTTGGGGGTGGGGGTATCAAACCTGAGTTACGGACGCACCTTACAAG